AGCAAACGTATGTTTGCTATAGCAATCGACAACGTTACTTATATTCCTAAGTGAGTAGGGTTTCGAGACTGCCAGTAACATCTCATTACACTGATTTACTGGAAGTCTCGAAACCCTACTCACTTACTAATAAATTTTTACACCTTTCCTCTTGCAGAAGCAATCTCAGCAAAAATTCAGGCACTGTTCTCAAGCCTAACAAAGTAGCCGACCCGGCGTGGCTGCTGCATGCAGCCAGACACAGACGAGTGGATGAACAAGAGTCATCCTCACAGGTAGGCCAATGAGGGCACGTGTGAAAAGAGGCTCCCCACCCTCCGGGTCGGCCAAGTTGTGCTGTAGCCGAGTGGTGCGCCAGCCAGGCGGGACCCGGGACCAACAAGGTTGAAGGCTCTAGGCTCGAGGCTCGAGACCGGCACATGAAAGAACGGGGAAGAGCGGCAGGACTTGGTACCTCTCGGGTGGAACACGCGGCGGTCCCGTGCAGGAGGCGAATCCACGTCCATCACACAGAGCCCCTCTGGCCGCCGGTCTTTCGGCCCTCATTGCCACCCCTCCTCCCATCCTCATTAATACGAGCATGCGGCCGCAGAAGCGCTATCATCATCATCATCATCATCATCATCAATAGCAGCAGCAGCAGCATCCTCGACATCAGCAGCAGCCAGAGCGGTGGCAAAGTCGCCGGCTCGGCTGCCAAATGCAGGGAAGCTGGAAAGGCGGGGGTTGCAGAGCGACGACAAGTAATTGCAGGTCTTCCCCCTCGCCGGCCCAAAAGACGCGGACATGTACCGGCATGTGCCAGCTCGTGCCCTCGTGAGTCTGCATGTTTACGGCCCAAGTGCATCCACGCGTGCAGAGTTGACTGAGTCTGTCATTGCCTCGCGCGGCCTGTAGACCTCGTTTACGCCCTCTTCTGCTCCGACTCCGGCTCTGGAGGCTCAGCTTGCACACGACTCCTGGTCTCTCCCCGACCATGCCTCTTCTGTTTCCCCCTCCTCCCCCTCGGCACGTC